ATGCGTACTGACTGCATGTATGCTATCCTGACAGCGTATGGTTATCTGACAGAACACCGGCTAGCTGTACCGCGGTCATCTACCACGACATCTGACGGGGTTTGGACGGACACTGCAGCGTGGACAGGATCAAGACGACGGGAACAGCAGAGAGGTCATCCCCAGAACCCACACGGACCAGATAAGGCTTGACTTTTTCATTAGGAAGGCGTCACTGCGATGTTCTGTTTTAGAGCAGTGTTTTATTTGTCCACCTTTTATTTTTATTTATTGTTCTATTGTTCTGAAAACAGTGAGGTAAGAATCTATGTTATATCTGCACCAACCTGCTCATGTATGCTAAGTAGTGGAATCCAAGACACAGGTCTGATATTGTTTTTGCTGGAGAACAATGGGTAAATTAAGTATAAATATTATAACATGGAACATTAATGGTTGTGGTACACCAATCAAAAGAAAAAAGGTTCTTAACTATTTAAACTCTCATGATACGGATATAGCGTTCATACAAGAAACACACTTCGAAAATGAAATAGAAGCCTTAAAATTCAAAAGAGGTTGGGTTGGTAAAGTGTTTCACAATTCGGTGTCCAGGAAAAGCAGAGGGGTTATGATTCTTATAAACAAAAATCTTAATTTTGTGTTATTACAAGAGTTTAAAGACTCAGAGGGACGTGTACTATGCATACAAGCACTTTTAAATGATGTGAAAGTTGTCCTCTGTAATATATATGCCCCGAACAGGGAAGAGCCACTTTTTTTTCACTCCATCCTAAACAGAATAAGCAATCTTGAAGGCCACATTATACTGGGAGGAGATATGAATGAAGTCTCATAAAAATGTAATAAGTGCCAGTTTTAGTAGTGGAGGTAAATCCGCGACAGCCCTTTTTAGAGAAGAGATTGGGTTGGTAGATATCTGGAGACTAATACACCCGACGGAGCGAGAATATAAGTTTTATTCACATGCCCACAAAAGTTACTCCCGCATCGATTATTTTCTGATTTCTAGTACTGACTTAGTAGCGGAGTGTGAAATAGGTGTAATTGCCCTAACAGTGAAGCTACAGATACATTTGCAGGGTGAAAATAGTAGGTCGGGCAGATGGAGATTAAACTCCAGTATATTGCAAAATGAACAATTTGTAACAACATTAAAAGATGACAAACTATTTCTTTGACGTGAATATTGGGTCAACAGATAAATTGGCAACAGTATGGGATGCTCATAAGGCCTTTGTTAGGGGTAAATGCCTGGGACACAGTTCTAAGAAAGTAAAAGAGGAGAAAGAAAAAGTCAAAACTCTGGTAAAACAGATAAGTGAATTGGAAAAACAACTGGCAGAAAACTACGATGAAAACAAATTTAATAGAATTTGCAAAATGAAATTTAACCTTCATGATATTTATAATAAGAAAGCAGAATATGCATTGTTTAGGCTCAAAACCAATTTCTATGAAAACGGTGAAAAAAACGGGACGGCTATTGGCCAGACAACTGAAGCGGTTAGAGAATCAGAACGTGATCACAGCAATTAAAGAAAATGACAAATTGATAACATCGTCCTCTCATATTAATAAAATTTTCCAAAGATTCTACGAAGATCTTTATACATCTGAAAGTGTAGTGACTGCAGAAGAATTGGAATCCTTCTTTGACAAAATAAAGGTACCCAAAATTACCCAGGATGAGAAAGATAGATTGGAAGCACCCATAAATAAGACCGAAGTTAGAAAAGCAATTGCTGGAATGAAAAAAATGAAATCACCTGGCCTAGATGGCATTACAGTCGAATACTATCATAAATTTGTAGATATACTTGCACCGATTCTAACAGATGTTTATCGAGAAGCATTTGAATGTGGTTCACTTCCTGAAAGTTTCAATCAGGCTATAATTACTCTCATACCAAAGGGGGATAAAGATCTTACAGATCCAGTCAATTACCGTCCCATAAGTTTGATAAATGTTGATTGCAAAATACTGTCAAAAATTCTAGCCACGAGATTAGAGACTGTGTTACCACAGATTATTCACAAAGATCAGGTGGGCTTTATTAAGCATCGTTCTTCAGCTGATAATATGCGAAGACTTCTGCATCTTTTATGGGGAAATAAGGACAACAAAAACCCCGTAGTGGCAATATCACTTGATGCTCAGAAGGCCTTCGACAGGGTGGAGTTTTTTGTTCACTGCTCTGTCAAAGTTTGGACTGGGTGAAAACTTTTGTAGGTGGGTTAGCACTCTGTATTCAGGCCCAAAAACCGCTGTCTTTACCAATGGAATATTGTCCAATTATTTTCGTATCTCCAGATCCACGCGTCAGGGCTGCAACCTTAGTCCACTTCTGTTCCCTATTTTTCTAGAGCCATTGGCTATTAAAATTAGGGAAGAAGCTAGAATCGTTGGGGTGAACGGAGGGGGGAGGGAACACAAATTATTTATGTATGCCGATGATATTTTGGTATTATGTCAGGAACCTGCCAACTCCGTTAAAACATTGCTGGAGGTGAAAGATGACTTTTCTAAACTATCAGGTTATAAAATTAATTGGCATAAATCAGAGGCAATGCCTGTATCAAAAGCGTGCTCTGTAAACTTATTATCCACTTTCAATTTCAAGTGGTTACAAAAAGGCATGAAATATGTAGGAATAACGCTTAATCCAGATATTAATGAAATCATGGTAGAAAATATAGAAAAACTGCTTACTAGAATTAAATCTAACTTGGATAACTGGAGCAAGTTACATTTAACATTATGGGGTAAGATAAACACAATAAAGATGGTTATAGCTCCTTTGATAAATTATTATACTGGAATGATACCAATCTGTATCCCAGCTCAAATTCTTCTAAAATATAATAATATGATTAAACATTTTCTATGGGACGGTGGTAAACCTAGAATTAATATTGGCAAACTATGCCAACCCAAAAAAGGAGGGCTGGCCTTACCTAACATAGAACATTATAGCATTTCATTTGAAATGTCCAAGATGTGCAAGCATTGGCCAGAAATTAATCAGATTTAGACTGGGTTTCAATAGAGCGGGAACTTTCCTCTCCGTTCACCCCTGTCGAGGTATTGACTCAAAAGATAGATAATAAACAGAATAAAATAGATAACCCCATATTAAAATTCTCAAAAATGGTTTGGCAAATGGTCCACAAAAAACTTGCGCTCTCTCCATATATCCAGGATATGCGTCCCTTTGGCACAATCCTAAGATTAACATCGGCAAACAGTCAATTTACTGGTCACATCGGTTTAAGAAAGGTATACGAATAATTGGTGATTTATTTGTAGAAGACACATTTATGTCATATAATGATCTGAAGAAAAGTTTAAGTTAGAGGGACAAAGCAATTGTTGGAAATACTTACAAATTAGAGATTGTTTGAAGGACATAACAAAACTCCACTTGGAGAAAAATCCGATAGTTTTTTACAACTTCCACCTTTACTTAGTAAAGCATCAAAATGGTATAACATATGTCCATGGGTTAAAAACAATACAAGTAAGAGTCTTAAAATGGTATGGGAAAGAGATTTGGTCTGCACTTTTGAAGATGAAACATGGGGTTCTATTGTTTCTAAAAGCGGGCATTATGTAAGAGAGGCCAAAGGGAAATTTACTCAATATAAAATTTTGAACAGGTTTTATCTTACTCCATTAAGATTGCATAAGATGGGTATTAGCAAAGATGACTTATGCTGGAAATGCCAAAAAGCAAGAGGCACATTGCTGCATGCTTTATGGAAATGTCCGCTGATCTCTCCAATATGGAATAGTGTTATAAAATACTTGGAGGGATGGTTAAAGAGTAAAATACCTATTTCACCAAGATTGTGCCTGTTGGGAGACAGAGGTGTGGTCCCTGGTGTCCATAAAGCAGCGTTCAGAGTACTGAACACTGGATTTGTTACCTGTGCCCGTCTCATTTTGACACTATGGAAGATGCCACAGACTCCAGCTTTTAAAACATGGAGAGAGAGAATGACTGAAAATGCAGCTTGTGAGAAAATGCTTGGAAGATTAAATAACTACTCTGAAGCTGCAACAGAAGAATGGGACAGTTTTAGTGCCTATGTTTCCACGACATTGCAACAGTGATAACTTGAAACATCTAGGTTGCATTCACATTTACACATAAACATATTAAATTTAGGGGTACCAAATTCTGAACTGAACCTGGGTAAGACCAAGATTGGTCAAGTTAAGTGGGACTTAATTAGATGCCCAATTTGTATTTAATTGGGTAGAACCAGGACAATGTGTGTCGGATGTGAATGCGGCCTTACAATCACCAATGTTTATATTCCTCACTGGTTTTGTTTCTGTTTGTTGTTTTTGTTACATGTTCATAAAACAAAATAAAAACTTTAATTACAAAAAAAAAAGTATTCATTCCCCCTTTCTCTGAGGTCAGACATCTAAACTGAGCTTCAGCTGTTTGGCAAAGAGTCACTAGATCAGGGGTGTCAAACTCCAGTCCTGAGGGCCGCTGTCCTGCAGCTCTTAGATGAGCCTCTGCTGAACCACCTGAACAGAATCATCGGGTCATTAAGGCTCTGGAGACCTGATCTACTCCTACAATGTGTACAAGAAAGCACAGAGTAGAATGTACTTCTTGAGGAGACTGGCCTCCTTCAGTGTGTGCTCTAAGCTCCTGTACATGTTTTATAAGTCCATTGTGTCTACTGTTATATTCAATGCAATTATTTGTTGGGGGGGCAGTGCAAAGAAGAGGGACATACAGAGATTGAATCGCCTCATCCACAGAGCTGGCTCTGTGGTCGGTGTGAGCCTGGAGTCTGTGGAGACAGTGGTGGAACAGAGGACACTGTCTAAACTCAGTTTAGTCCTGGAGAACACAAGGCATCCCCTGCATACTGTCCTCTCCAACCAGAGCAGCTCCCGCAGCAACAGGCTTCTCTCACTGGGATGTTCAACTGAGAGGATTAAAAACTCCTTTGTCCCACCGGCTTCACAATGCTGTGACTTCTGGGAGGGTTAAGGGAGGGAGACAGAGTAATTAGCATTTTAATGTATTTAAGCTCTTTACTAGACCACTTTTTAATGTATGTATATTGTGTACCTTTTATAGATGTTTCCAGTTGTACGATTTTTAATGCTGTGTGGATGTGAATTAATGTGTGAGCAACAGGCAACCTTAATTTCTCTACGGGATTAATAAAGTTTTACCTTACCCACCACCAAAGAACCTTCGCTCAGTCAGACACCACACTGGAGTCCAGACCACTTCAGGGACACCATACCCCGGAAACCACTGTATTACTGTATTGTTTAGCTTCATTTCAAGTAAGATCAGTCTGATTCTTCCTGAAGTTCCACTTTCCAACAACCTCAAACTCACCATCTCTTTTTCACTGCTCTTCAGAGTCCTGATGACCCTGGTTGCCATCCACAAGGACAAGAACCACTCAAATTCACTTTTCATCATTATTAAAATAAACTCTATTTATCTGATCATCTGTTCTCCTGGTGGTGTTCTGTATGTGGGCAAAGAAACTAGGACCCATTTTTACTGCCATAGTTTTAGTTTACATGTTTGTTTGTTTTTTGTATTATGCACATTTTTGTTGTTATGACTCTTATTTTGAAAGGTCTATGTAGGAAGTTGGATCCAGCATGTTCGCTGGGGCGCCAGAAAAAGAGGATGCACTGCTATGTGTGAGTGTCACTAAAATGATTATATTTGGTTTTGTGTCGAGCTGTTTTTGTTGGAAGTTATCGCGAGATTTGTGTACATGTGATTTGTGTGTTTGTGCTGCGAGACTTGAATGAACGGAGAAGGAGCGGAAGCCTGCAGGTGAGCAGGTACAGCAGCCTTGTGTCTCGTGTTGTTGAGGTAT